GCTGAGTAAGGAAATTGCAGATTTAGCTGTGTCCCGGAACATTTGGCCCTCTCCCCAGAGTGGCGGCTCTGGAAAGAAACAGCCAGCATTGATGATGTCTCTTATAGCAGGCTTTTGTGGCCTCACAGTGTATTATTTTTTCTTCTTAAAGTAAATTAGTTGTGAACATTTCAAAGCCACATTTACAGGATAAGTTTGAGGCAGCCCCAGACTTCCTCAAGCGCCTTGCACAAAGGAACACTTAGCCTTGCTCAGTAGAAGTTGTGTTAGAACATTTTGCCTCAGTGGAAATGTAGTTTGCTGACATCTTGGAAGCCGCTGGCCAAGTAGAGGTGTTGAACATTTCAAATGTGACAGTGTAACTAGAAATGTGTTTCCTGTTTAATGGACTTAAGTGTATGCAGTTCTAGAGAGCAGAGGTTGGCATAAGATACTACAGGCAAGAGCGAGAGCAGGCTTCCAGAGCCTAATGACATGTGCCTCAGTTTCTCCTGGCCACCCAGGCCAAAGACTGGCAAGTCAGCTTGCTTTGCTTTGTTTTAAGGAAAGACAATTCTCCATTGCCCTCCCGCTGCTCCTGACACACATTGGGAACCATTGCCAACGTGCAGTTACACAGCATTAAGATGTTTCCCAAATGCTTCCTCACCACATTTTCTGACTGTAGGATTCATTAATAAATATTGTCTAATTAGATTTTTGCTTTATCCACTTCTTTAAGTCTTCCCTTCTCTTGGATTATACTGTCCTTTTATAATGTCCACGTTTCAGCCATGTGTATGAACAAAGCTGAAAAATAGTGTAAGCCAAAGGCCTTAACTTACACAACTTAATGACACTAGTTTTCATGGAGTGGACCAACCAAAATAAGAAATGGGTAACATTTAACCTGAATTTTAATGTTACAGTTGGGCCAGTGACATGGAACAGTGAGTAAAGGTGCTTGTGCCAAGCCTTACAACTTGATCTCCATCCCCTGGACCCACATGGTGTAGCAGGCTAGAACAGATGCCCACAAGTCCGTCCTCTGACCCCCACGTATGTGCCATGCACACACACCCTAACGCAGAAATGAAATGCAAGTTTTAAAAGAAAACATTTAAAGACTTTTAAGGTTTGTGTTCATGGAAATGTCAAAATTGATTCAGGTTCATGAGAAGGAGGCTTATATTTTTAAACAAAATACTTCTAAAGTAGAAAAATAGATGAAACTTATTCTTACAATTAAGTATAATCAAAACTTAAATAGTACTAGAATATTTTCTGTGATGGTAAAAAACTTAAAAGATAGAAACGGGAGAAATTTATCTGTTTCCATAGTTTTTTCTTAGCAAGTAGGGTACAAAGAAACTATCTGTTCTTCAGATGTAAATTGAAGGATTTGCTTAGTTACAAATGGCTGTTGTCTTATTTTAAAGAAGTTGTGTGTTCTTTGATAGATTTACACACTGACAGATGCCGCTCCATGCTGAGACTCTTGCCCAGTTGTATTGAGTCTTTGTTAGGGTTTCTATGGCTGTGATGAAACACCATGACTAAAAGCAAGTAGGGGAGGAAAAGGTTTGTTTGTTTGGCTTATACTTCAGCATTGCTGTTAGTCACTGAAGGAAGTCAGGACAGGAACTCAAACAGGGCAGGCTCCTGGAGGCAAAAGCTGATGCAGAGTCCATGGAGGAATGCTGCTTACTGACATGCTTCCCATGGCTTGCTCAGTCCACCTTCTTATAGAACCCAGGACCAACAGCCCAGGGATGGCACCACCCACCATGGGCTGGACCCTCTCCCCTTTTCATCATTAAATGAGAAAATGCCTTACAGCTGGATCTCATTGAGGCATTTCCTCAGCTGAGGCTCCTTCCTCTGATGACTCTAACTTGTGTCAAGTTGACACATAAAGGCAGTCAGCACGCTGTTGTCATAGAAGCTCTTCCTCATGACATTGCCCTTTAGAGACTTGAAATGTATTAAAAGATGTGTTTCTCCACGGACACAGTGGTAATCTTCTCTTGAGAACCTGCTGTCTGCTATGTGCTGCCATGCTGGTGGTACGCACCAAGTTGTGGGACTAGGTCATTGAGGAGCCATCATGGATTCTGCCTGCCACTCATCCCCATCAAGTTCTGTTGCTTTTACCTCCCAGGCATGTTCATTCTCACCACCTCTCTGTCCTACCCATTGCCCTGTGTCTCATCCCTAATCCTGTAGCATCCTCCTAACTACGCTAGGTCATCCACTGATCCTACCCTTACAGGGCAGCTGTCGTGATTTTTCTTTTAAATACCTTTGCACTATGCTGCTTAAAATGATGCATTTCAAATGAAACCGCCAACATCAGCTTACTAAACCTGAGATACAGCTTTGCTGACTCTCTAACTTTGGAAAGAGCTCTATCCTTTGGAACTAGTCTTGCAAACGTATGGCAGAATACTTAAATAGCAGTGGCTTTAATAGCACAGAAGTTCTCTCTCGTGTGTTAGTAGACAGAATAGGGTCTGGTGTGGTCAGATTTTAGCCCTCAAGACCCAAGGCTACCATCTCTGTGCATCACCACCATCCTAATAGTTTCCAATTCATGGTGTACAATTCCTGCGATGGCCATGCCATCACGTCTGCATTCCAGACAGGAAGACAGTAGAAGGAAGAATACATACTCACTGGGGAGAGCCTAGCCAGACGCATCCCCTGCTGCAGATGTATTCTGCATTGAAATCTGGGGTATGGTTGTTGAGGGGAGATGGGCATACAACATTTAGACCACTGTTACAAGAGGTAAATCTTCGTATTCCAAATGGGAATTTAAAAAGCTTGTCTGAAATGGAAAGAATTAACAGCTAACACGTAGGCTTTCTCTTGGAGTCAGGAAGTCAAACAAATAGGTGGAGTCATTGAAGGTACCTCTGGAAGGCAGGAGTGGGACAGGGAAGGGACCAGAGTATGTAGTATGTTCAGCCTTGCAGTGCTATATGACTCCCAGTGAACAGCATATATATCTTGATGAGGAAAGAGTCTTAACACCTCAGCTGAGGCCAGACCTGTGACAGTTTATCATCAGGACCACAGGCTGCATCTTGGTGTCCCATTTTGCCTGCTATATTTGCATCTTTGCTATCTGTAAAGGTGAAGGTATGCCTATGCACACTGCCTGGGGATCAGGCTCAAGACATTTAGCCCCAGGTAGTGCAGTTCCCCAGTTTTTCTACTATTACATTAAAAAATGTTGATGGGGAATGAAATATCTCTGACGGTGCTACTTTACAAGCAGATCCTAGATTGGCAGCAGCATTCAGCACATAAAGCCCTTTCCATCCTTGGGTGCTTTGTGTAGGAAGAAAGCACACTGGGAACAGGTTGCCTCACCGAAATATGACACCAGGACCCAGAACACAGGGAAGGGGGAAGTGGAACCTGGCCATGCAATCCAAGAAGCTGAAGAAATGATTCTGTGCTCCCAGAGAAGAACCATCCAAACGACTAGCTGACTTTCATGAGGAGTGCATCAGGTCTTAAGATAGTGAGGCAGAGTGGGCTTTGTTAACTGTTTAAGACAAAAGGAACTGATGGTCGTGAGAGACGAGGGTCCGAAAAGGAAAACAGTCACTGCACTTGTATTCAATCACTCTATTTTCTCAAACACCGGTCTTGTTATTATCCAGCTTTGGTGCTGCATCACTTAATTAGGGTTTGAGGCAGCAGTGGGAGTAAGGGGAAGTGAACGGGCAGGAGTGGGAGTGGATTGCGCAGGTGCGTGCTGTGGGTGGCGATGAGGCCCATTAAGGGCATAATTCTGGAAGAAGCTCTTGACGCTGATCATTTGTGAAAAGGAGATTTGTTTCCTCCCCACATACGTGGTTCTGTACACTTGTCTCAGACCTTGAACATCGTCATTCCATCTGCTCATCAACTCTGGAATTACTAACACTGCGCCACTTTGAAAGAGCAGACAAGGTTATTAACTTTGGCAGGAAATGAAAATTTGGCCTTAATATACATGTGAAATTGAATTGTCTGTAACACAAAGCTTTGGAGATTACCCATGCAAAATGGGAAAAGTATCTGAATTTAAAATTGTCCTCAGTACAGTGAAAAGTAATTCTGCAGACTGCATTTTTACTGCACTGAAATCCATGAAGAGATTGGCTCTATTAATTTAGATTTAAACATAGGCTGTGTGTCTTCTAAAAATGGTAAATGAGATGGAAAATGTACTTTACAGGGAAAAAATGTTTCTGGAAATGCCTTAGGCATGCAGACTTCCTTCTCCATGTCTCTGACTGCTCCTCACTGAGCTGGCTTCTGAAGGGGAGCTCTGTCTCCTGTGACAAGCACTTGCAAACACAGATACTGCCTCAGTTACTCTGTAGGCTTCAGGGTGCACAGGAGCAAGGCGAATAGGACCACAACCAAGTTACTGGTAGCTTTTCCTTTAGTCTCCGAAGTAGCATGGTGCCAGAGGAGGCGGCTCTTGACAAGAAAAAAATATTAGAAGACGTTAGTGTATTTTCTCCAATGTCCAATGCCTGCCCACAAGGAAACCAGAATGTAGGACTTGGTGACACAAACCAGCTTGTCACATACACAAAAAAATTAACCTTTTATTTAAAGAGAAGTGAGCTTTCTCATCCCTTGCTCTAAATTGCTTTATGTCACAACAATCATATTTTTGTTCATTATTAATTAACTTTTGTTAATAAACACTTGACCAAAAAAGATTAGGAATGGTCACTGTGTCTGCCTTTGCATCTCTGCCTTGGACAAATCTTAAGAAGTCTTTATTACTTAATAGAATTTTAACAGTGAGGAATACAAAGACAAGTGACTCCCTCTGCCTTTTCTTAGAGCTGACTCACAGTAAGCAGAGCTGAGACTAGAAAGAAGTCACCTGACTTGCAGATAATGTCACGTAGCTTATCAAATTCAAGCCGGATGAGGGGGGTCACACACCAAAGTAACACAGTGAGGTGCCCGTCCTCATCTCCACTTGCTTTCTCCTTGCTTTCCAGGCATTGCTGTGCTTTACCTACATCTCTATGATGTGTTTGGGGACCCTGCCTACTTGCAGATGGCGCACGGCTATGTAAAGCAAAGCCTAAACTGTTTGAGCAAGCGTTCCATCACCTTCCTGTGTGGCGATGCAGGCCCCCTGGCTGTGGCTGCCGTGCTGTATCACAAGATGAACAGTGAGAAGCAGGCAGAGGATTGCATCACACGGTAATCATGGGTGTTTGTGAGGAGTGCTACCTAGACATCATTAGCATTCTGCATGTGTTAGCAAAAGAACATTCTACTGAGTTTACTTTTCTCTCAGCAGATCAGTCTTCCTCCTGCATTTGATCAGTTCTCATATTCCTGTTATAGTTAAGGAATAGCCTTGTAATCCTTATCTTAGTACAAGACAGAAGACACTGGCGTGGTCCAGATCAAGTATCAATTCCCTGGGATCAAAGCCCTGATCGTGGGATAACTAATTCACTGTGCTCCCTAAAATCAACATTTGAAAAGGAAGTGGTTCTCTTCTTGTAAGCCAGGGACCAAAAACTAATTCTAGGCTGCCATCCCAGATGGTTTGGGTGTGGTCAGAAAACTGTGTCAGGATGATCCTGAATTGAAGGCCAGAAAAGGCTACATACTTAGACCATCTGTTAAATCTAATAATAATAAGGATGATGATAACAATGGTGATGACTGCCTTTCTTGGGGGCAGTGGCATACAAATCTAGATTGTCATTTTGAATATAACAATGGTAATGACTGCCTTTCTTGGGGGCAGTGGCATACAAATCTAGATTATCATTTTGAATATAACTCATGGTCTCACTATGCATTGGTGACTTTTAGAGAATTATTAAACTTTTCCACAAATAGACAACATTTATTATCTTTGTAAAGTTATTGAGCATTCTGTTGAACTCTTGAGAAGTTTGACTGGCATGCGGCTCCATGTGGGAGTCTTGGGCTCTCACTGAGCAAATGAATGTCAGCAGGTAGAGTTGCACTTCCAGCACAGTGTGGTCATCCCAGAGCCAGCCTCAGTTTTTATATAACCACTATTCTGTCTTATAATCGCTGGTAGAAATACATAATTGTCCATTTAGTTTGTTGAGGAATCCCACCATTAATGTATATTGTCCTTCTGTATCGCTAGGTTTATTTACATCCATAGACTCAGCCAACCATGGCTCAAAAGTGTTGGCCAAAAGGTTTATATTGTCATTCCCTAAATAGTATAACTCCTTTCAGAGCATGTTACGTTATAACAGATGCTTCAAAGTATAAGTGAAGATGTTCATGGGTTGTATGATAATGCTCTGTTTTATATGAAAGATTGAGTGTCAGTATATTTTAGTATCTTTTAGCAGTGCTAGAACCAATTGCATGGATGCCTAGCAATAACTGGTCTGTGTATAGTTGAGCAGCAGGCTTTTTGAACTGTTCAAATTACGATTGTGCTGCAAAAAAGGAATTACTTGTGTCTCTATTGCTTAATGCATGTATAACTTGCATAGGCAATCTCTCTCACACACACAGAAGTGCTCCATTCTCCCCAGATGTCCTGCACTTTCTCATTATAACAAATTTTTTCTGCCTGAAATTATAAGCACAGTAAGAAAGCCAAAGAATCTTTTGCTCTACTATAATGTTATATGAATCGATACAATAAATCATTTTCTACATTGACATTTTTAATATATAGTTGTGCTTATAGCTGTCAGAAGCCACAAATGTTATTATCCAACTTCAAATGAAAAGCTACATTATCTAATATGTATAGAAAAAATATAGCAGAGAACCATTTAATATAAAACTACACAAGACGTAGAGAAATCTCAAGGTAGATTCGAGCTAAAAGCTTTCTCTGTGCTGGCTAGCCCTCATAGTGCTTGAAGATGCTGTACAGGCTGCTAGAGAAACGGCATCATAGTCATATTCAGCTATGAACCTGTATGTTGTACTATTGAACTACAGAGCAGGATGTGCCCACTGGTGCAAAAGACACATGACTCTAATAGGGGTAACCAACTGCTTTCTGGTTGTTTTGAAACCTCCTCACCAGGAGGGACTTCATGTCTGGTACTATAAGCCTGGTTAAAAGCCATGGCTGAGGAGGTCATATGTCCTTTTGTGGAAGCTACTACTGTTGTTTGGCTAAAAGGACATGATGCACATGTCAGTTGCCTTCTAAATATTTATGTTCATGCCCACAGATCAGTGCTGTTGTCAGGCTAGTCCAAGAAGCTTCTTTTTGCACTGGGTGGCGGTTTCTGTAGAGATTCAAAACTGATCTACGCATTGAAAATAAGCTCCTGTTGAGTATTGAGCCCTAATTGGGACATCATATTACCCCTCCAACCTTAGAAACTACCAAGAGAGCTGAAAAGAATGTGTGAGCCTCAGGAAAAGCTGGAGAGTTGTGGAGTTCTGCCTAGTGGGTGTAACATGGCCATTGCTCTCTTGAACTCTCAGCAGCTGTGGTTACCTACAAGAGACCTGCACAGCATCAGTCAGTCATGTCGGTTCCCTTAGTGGAGGGGGAAGGAATCACAGGCCCCACTGACCCTGAGCATCTTCTCAGTGGTCAGTGACTGCTGAGGGCAGGGGACAGCTTTTCAGTGGTGCAGCAACTGATAAGATGTCCATGAATTTGTGAAGACCCACAACCATATTCCCAAGCATAAACTTCATTAAACTCTCAGGTTGACAAAAAATAAAATTAAAATATGAATTTTAAAGACCTATCACCACAGGGATAGATAACACAAAGCGATAATTTGCCTAAAAGTTGAAGTACAGTGTGTTCCTTCCATTGCAGTTTACTGATGTATGACTAACCAGTGCAAAACCATTAGATGCTCTCTTAAGTCTAAAACACAGAAACTATCTTTCTTATTTATCTGTTTATGTATTTATTAGTTTTTGCATAGCCAGTTTAAAGCCATTAGACATCTGAGGTCCCTGAGATAGTGTTCTTCAGAATCACTGTGAGTTACCATTAATTAACATTATAGCCGTTCCAGTATATCATACACAAGGTCACCTTCCCTAAATGCAGTGGCCAAATAGGAATCTGCTTTGTTAAGAATTTTAATGGGTAGAAGCAAAGTGTTGAAACAGATTGGAGGTTGTGCTCAATACTGCTTACACAAAATGAAATGCACACCCTTCCCTGGCTGCAGTCTTTAGGAGCTCATGAATAGGAGAAGCCCTCCAATTCTAGGCTGCAGTATGTTATTTGCCAGTAATATGCAGACAGCCTTACTCAGATGAGTAAGCTAAGACTTGTTTATTGTTTGATACCTTGATTATAAACACCTTTTGTGGTTTACATATTTTTAAATTTTTTAATGACATTTCAAGAACATTTTACTTATGGCCAGCAAGCTTGCCATGTAGTTAAAATAGAGAATGTGAAGTCAGACGTGGTAGCTCCCATCCACAGTCCTAGCACTTGGAAGGTTGAGGAAGGAGGATTTCTACAAGTTCAAGGCAACTCTGGGCCACATAGCAAGTTTCAGACTAACCTGGTCTACGCCGTAAGCTTGCCTCAAAACAAAAGAAAAAGTGTGTGTGTGTGTGTGTGTCTGTGTGTGCCTGTGTGTGGTTATTCCTATGCTCACATGTGTGTAAAGATGTGACTGAAAGGGAAGTGTGTTGCTTGGCCACAGCTCTGACTGCCTGACTTCTTTATTTCATGATCACTGTGCTCTGGGATTGCATCTCTTGGCTCACTTTCTATATCTCCTCTTAATGCCAGAAATTCCTTCAGTTCAGTTTCTGTAAGTCCAGGGTGCATTTATATTGTCAGGTATTTGTTGGGGAAGTCCTTTGTCAATAAAGCACTTCTGGCCAATAGGAATCTAGATAGGAGGGACTAGGAGTCCAGAAGGACTCTGGGAAGGAGAAACACAAGAGAGTCGACATGTAACCGCCATGGGGTAGGAGCCCGGAACTATTCTCCGGTAAGAGACATACTTAGATTAACAATTATGGGGTAATTACTTAAAGCAGAGCTAGCCAGTAAGAGACAAGCAAGGCCAACAGCTTCATAACTAATAGAGCCTCCTGTGTGTTTCTTTGGGGACTACAATGCGGCAGAGCCCAGGTGACGGGCGGGTGATAAACCAAAGCGGCTAGCAAGGAAAAGCTTCTCTTTACAGGTATTGAATCAGCATGCTTGCTTATTTTGCTTCTTAGTGAGCCATCTTCCTGGTGTCACATCGTCTGGGGTATCACACACTCACTTCCTTAAGCAGTATCTTTGTTGTGTTCCACTGGCTGCACCATCCCCTTTACCTTTCCAGCGTTTTCTTGGTGTAATGAGCTCTCAGAATGAGAATTTTGCTGTAAGGCAAAGGACACAGTCAGCAAGACAAAAAGGCAGCCCACAGAATGGGAAAAAATATTCACTAATCCCACATCTGACAGAGGGCTGATCGCCAATATTTACAAAGAACTCAAGAAGCAAGTCTCCAAAACATCAAAGGACCCTATTAAAAAGTGGGCTGCAGAACTAAATAGAGAGTTTTCAATAGAGGAGTCTAAAATTGCTGAGAGGTACTTGAGAAAGTGCTCAACATCCTTAGCCAACCGGGAAATGCAAATCAAAACAACTCTGAGATACCATCTCACTCCTGTCAGAATGGCTAAAATCAAAAACACCAATGACAATTTATACTGGAGAGGATGTGGTGAAAGGGGGACACTCCTCCATTGCTGGTGGGAGTGCCAACTGGTTCAGCCACTTTGGAAATCAGTATGGAGTTTCCTCAGAAAAATGGGAATAAAACTACCACAAGACCCAGCAACTCCACTCTTAGTTATATATCCAAAAGATGCCCATTCATACAACAAAGATGTCTGTTCCACTATGTTCATAGCAACTTTATTTGTAATAGCCAGAACTTGGAAGCAACCTAGATGTCCCTCAACCGAAGAGTGGATAGAGAAAATGTGGTACATTTACACAATGGAGTACTATTCAGCAGAAAAAAACAATGGAATCATGAGATTCGCAGGCAAATGGATGACACTAGAAGAAACCATCCTGAGTGAGGTAACCCAGTCACAAAAAGAGAAACATGGCATGTACTCTCTGATATATGGATTTTAGACATAGATCTGGGGAGTGCCAGCCTACAATCCTATGGCCAGAGAGTCTGGGAAACAGAAACTTCATTTAGTGGCTGATCCAAGAAGAGGCAGACTCCCTCGGTTAAATACTGAGCTGAACTCAAGAAAGCCAGTAACAGAGAGGGAGGACTGATGATCAAAGGGATTAAGACTGGGCTGGTTTAACCCCCAGAAACATCTGACCAGACAAAGGTTAACTCTTGAATCCCAGGCATCAGCCTGGGAATCCAGCATGGGACTGATCAATACCCCCTGAATCTGGGTGTCAGTGAGGAGGCCTAGGTAATCTATTGAGCCTTGGGCAGCAGATCAGTACCCATCCCAAGTATACACACAGACTTTGGACTCCCATAGAACAATGTGAGGTGCACTCTCACCCTGAACTCTTGGGGAAGGGTCTAGGCCCTGCCCTATATGAAATGACAGACTATGGACACCCCCATGGAGGGCCTCACCCTCCCTGGGGGAATGAGGGGATAATGGGGGGGGGTTGGGGGGAGGGCATGGGAGGAGGGGAGGGAAAGGGAGAGGGACCTGGAACTTGTGAAGCAACCTTGTTTCTTATCTAAATTTAAACTGGAAAATAAAAAAAAAAAAGAAAGGAAAAAAAAAGAATGAGAATTTTGATTTTGAAAGCGCAAATATGCCCTGTTTAGACAAAGAAACAGGAATCCAAAGGAATCTCTTTCATTAGGATTTAGTTCTTAAACTTGGCTTCCAGAAATGGACCTTGTGAGATTTTTTCAGATGTAGAGGACTTGCACTTCTTGAACGGAGGGTGGCAGTCTCTAACTTCCAACAAGGAGCTGGGGTGTTGGAGGGGGTGAATGGGAGTCAGAGAACACAAACAGTCATGTTGTGTTGCAATGGCCTGGGTGAATGACAGAGCCTCTCACTGGTCTCTGCTGTCTGGTAAGGACCCTGTAGGTCCTGTCTACACCGAGTTCTTGGTGTCAGTACAAGTAGAGAACATGGCCCGTTTCGCAGTTAGGTCACCAGCCTGGCAGATCATAGTATGCTGAGGCCAGAACTTAGGATGGTCAGGAGGTGACCTTGGACAGAGAATGTGATGTGTGTTATAGCGTGATGAATCAGAAAAGGGTAGAAAGCTCCAGTGACACCCTGGGGAAGTGCCACTAGATGCCCAGCAGAGCCATCTTGTCTTTGTCTTCTTCCTTCCGTCCCTTCTAAAAGCTGGTTGCTGTTAATGTCAGCTTATCCAAACAAATAGCTGGAGCTGCAGACATACACTTGTGGGCTCAGATAACATAAAATAGCCATTACAATTTTCAGATGCCTTCATTATTTTATCTTAAAATGTGGCATGTGAAGCTACAACTTCAAACCCTACCTGTAGCAGAACCAACTAACAAGTGCTGATAATTTGCATTCAGATCCAGAAAATAAATACACCAAGTCCCTTTTTAGCCTAAACGCTGTCATTAGGTGATGCTGGTTCTGAACAGGATGTTGCCAGTAAGCATTTAAACCATGTTCCCTATCTGTTGCCCTAGTGCAAATGAATTTGGTTTTAAAATGTTAATTGTATATCGCCACCTAGTGGTAGTGTAGGGGAGAACACTGGCGTTTTTGCAGTTCTGTACAACTTGTTTTAGTAGGACCAGCATTGTAGTGAATGTAGTAATCATTCATAACAATGCTTCCTAGGGCAGAAATTACACCAAAGTTTTCCTCTTTTAGTAGTTTCGTCAGTCCCTTTGCAAAAATAAATCAAGTTCGTTTTTATCTCCAAAGTCTAGAGGATTGATGCATTTGTATTAAACATGATCAAGTGTTCTAGTTTGACCTTGAGATACATGTTCTGGCCACTGCAGCAGCCAAGTGTGTTTTCTTGGTCCCAGTGTTATTCAGGTACAGGTTCTGTTAGGAGGGGAAAAATAACATTTTTCTTAGCAAACGCTTTTAAATTCTTTTGAGTTGGGGGTTGGCTGAACTCCTTTGCCTGAGGTGATGTCCATTGCCCTTCCAGATCATCCCTCTCAGAAGGAGCTCTGTGAGCACTGGGGAAGCTTCCATGTGAAGTCATGTGTTTCTGTAAACTTGTTTCTAAAGCAGAGTCTTGTGTAGCCCAGGATGACGGTGGACTGACCCTGCCCCCACGTACTGAGCTGTGCTATACAGTGTGTGCCAGTGTGCTGAGTTTCTCTGAAGCCGCTTGTCCCCTGGAGAGCCTTGAATTACCTGTCCACCAGGCATGTGTCATCATAGAAGAACAAGGCACAAGAATTTGCATAGCATCCTTTGTAGAATCATTTTAGAAAATGATTTAGAGTAAATGTGCTGGTCCTATATGTTACTCAAAGGTCTGCATAGATGTATACTGAAAAACTCCTGGATCAAAATTGTTGAATCACAAGGTACATAAAACACCTTAGACAGATCCTTCTAGAAATAGCTTACTTGCTGCCCAAGAAACAAACATACATACATACATACATATCCCATACAGCGTCACCAATGCTAGTACTCAGTAGCCCAAAAGTGCTGTCATTTTTTTCTTTTAGTTTGTGACTAAAAGGATTGATCTTGACCATACATACATACATACACACACACACACACACACACACACACACACACACACACACACATGCATGCTTCCATTTGTATTTTCTTTTGAGTACAGTAAAACTGGAGGCTGAGGGTGTTACTCAGGATGAACACTTGACCATCATGCCTGAGACACCGGGTGCATCCCCAGTACTGCAACAACAATAAGATGATGGGGTTAGGGGGTGAGGAGTCAACAACAACATAACCCTGTTCTACCACTCAGACAACCCTATTAGCAGTGAGTATTACAGTATATTGCAAGGAAATAGAAACTTCTGGCCATGGTGACCCTGCCAGTTTATTTCCTATAATTTTAAAAAGGAATAGAGAAAATATGAGCTAGTATTTGTATATTGCAAATTTGAAGCGCATCAATTACTTGCAATGTGCCACTATTTCAAAACCCCCCTTTTTTGTACCAAGAAGAAAATGTTCATTAAAAAAAAATCATGTGTACCAGAAATGAAGAGATGGGTCAGTGGTTAAGAATAGAGTGAGCACTAGTGTGGAGTCCCTGTGACTGTTGATTCCTGGTTACAATATCTCAGATAAGCCCCATGTGACTTGTAATACCACAAATTTGTTTAAACATTTGAGTGTGAAATCAGGTTAGGAACACACACACTAAGCCAACCATCCAACAACAAAATAAGATAATTTTAAAATCAGGACTCATTTTTAGAGATAAGACCTAGAAGAGCAATGATGAAATGTTATGCTAAGTATATTATAAAATATCAGATAACATTTGAGTTTCCAGAAAATCCCTGGATTTTTCATACTAATAGCATTTTGTCAAGTTTTGACAAGAATTTGAAGTGTTTTAAGAACTTAAATGGGATCTCTTTGAAATTCATAGACTAATTTAGAGAAAATTGAGTTATATTTTCAAGCCTTCACATGATTAAAAATTCTAAAACAGCTGGGCAGTGGTGATGCACACCTTTAGTCCTAGCACTGGGGAGACAGAAGCAGGCGGATCTCTTTGAGGCCTGCCTAGTCTACAGAGCAAGTTCCCAGAGCAGCCAGGGCTACATAGAGAAACCCTGCCTCAAAATTAATTCTGTCCATGTTTTTGGAGCTATATTCAATGAAAGAAGGAAGGGTAAAGTCTACTTGCTGCTACTTAACTAGAAACAGAACCTGTAAAAACTTGGAGAAGCTGCACTGAGTCCATGAATAATAAAGTGTAGTATACAACTTTAAAGAATGAAACTAGTCTGTGTGTGCTTGATAGGGAAGGACTGCAGAACATTGCTGGGTTAGACTAATGTATGTACATACATGTATTTGTGTTTATGCACACAAATCTAGAGATATGTGCACATATATACACACACACACAACTGGATAGTCAAGGTTGTTTCTAAAAATAAGAGCTAGAGGGCTTTGTGCCATTTGCATGTTACCTTGTGTTGGATCAGCCTGCAACGGAGATGCGTGGTTGTGGCCACATTTCATTAAAGCCAAAGCTAAATGCTGTGATGGCAGCCATCCTTAGTGCCTCTGATCCTCATCGCTTAAGTACAAGTCTTAGAGCCTACATCTGTGAGAAACTAGGGGAAATTCAGGTAGCTTCAGTCAGCCTCAGTGTGCCTTCTTGTGACATACAAGTTCCATTGTGACCTTAAAATGGGACTAATCTTTAAACTGTGATTTTAGGTGTGTATGTTTATGTGCCAGTGTATATATTTTTAGTGGACCGCTTTATTTGCTACTGTCTGATCCCTGTCCATTGATCATATACACATGTTTCTATTCCTAGGCTCATTCACCTAAATAAGATTGATTCCCATACACCAAATGAAATGCTCTATGGCCGCATAGGCTACATCTTTGCTCTGCTTTTTGTCAATAAGAACTTTGGAGAGGAGAAGATTCCTCAAAGCCATATTCAGCAGGTAATATAGTTTTGTGGGTTTTGGGAATATTTTAAGGCATCTGCTTACATACTCTGGCTCTCTGGTTAGCACATCCCATTCAGGAAGACCATGTGTTTTTACCTCTGTAGATCAGGCACAGAAAGCCAAGCTTCCCACTGAGTCTGTAGGTAGCCCGGTCACAAGCAGTAGGAGTCAGAAGGCCATCCTGCTCCATTTAATGGTTGAGAAGCCCTTTCTGGGGTAGATGGAGGGCAGATCTCCTCTCTAGGATGCAAATATGTCCTCGGTGCCTGGAGCAGTTTGTGCTTTTTTTGAAAGATGTGTACGTACTTAAAAGTGTTAATAAAGAGAGTTGAGGGTCCTCCTGAGCTATCTTCTAGATATCACACTTCTTAGAAGGGAGCTGTGTCCTTCCTGGTGGAAGATGCTATCTTATCCCTTACCAGTAATTCAGTACTTCTTAACAGAAAGTTCTTTGCCTCCACCAAGAATACTTTTTGTCTAATTGTCTTGTTATTTTGCTCATCTGTCTCCCTGTAGATTTGTGAAACAATCTTAAACTCTGGGGAAAACCTAGCTAGGAAGAGAAACTTCACGGCCAAGTCTCCACTGATGTATGAGTGGTACCAGGAATATTACGTGGGAGCTGCTCATGGCCTGTCAGGAATCTATTACTACCTAATGCAGGTAAGGGATGCTGAAGGTGAGACCATCAGGTGACCCACACGTGCATGGTCTTGGGTGGGGAACAGATCCTAATACTGTGTTCCCTTCTGTCGGTCACTGTGTCACACTCATTACAGTCACAGAGTGCACCTTTAAGTCTGAAAGTGTACATACACCATCCTGGGGAAGGTGCTAGGTTTCCATGTAGACGTGCACTCACCGGGTGCCACTGGGGCAATATCTTGGTTCTTTGCTTCTCTGTCAGAAAATGTCTTGAATTACAAGTATCACTCCCTACTGTTATAAAATGAAACAAATTCCAGGAGTAAAGACAAATCTATAAAAGCAAATAAGAACACTCTGCCTATGGCTTATTGAGGGAGTAAAGTCAAGACTTTCCAGTAGATTTTGTCTGACTTGCCTGAAAAATAGCTGAGTGTGCTGTGCCCCGTAGTTCTTTGGTTCTGACAATATTGGGAGGCGTCAGCCAAGTTAGGAAGACTGAAGACAAATAGGACTTGAGAGATCAGAGCATAACTCACAGGATGCCATTTGAAGGGAACAGGTGACACTTGCAAATGAGAATTTATGGCAGAGTAAAGTGGATTCTTCTTGGCAACAGAGGCTCATGCCTCCCCTTGACAAAGTATACAGTGTCACATAAAGGAAGGTACTGCACTCCTGCATCCAGCATGCATACATGTACACGTTACCATATGGCTGGAAGAAAACAAAACCAGTGTCATTCCTGCCCTCAATCCATGATTGCTTTTAAACAGAGTTAACAGTTTGGGAACAGTGATCAGAGGTCAACCTGTATGTATGTATGTATTTATTTATTTATTGTTGCTTATATCTTCTGTTTTCCACTAGAAGGTGTGTGATTGCCATTTTTGACAAGCAAGATTTAAATTCCTTTTCTGGAATGCTCCCTCAGCAACTCTTACTTCTAGAACTGCATATAGATTCTTAAAAAGCTTTCATGAAAGACATGTTATGTCTTCTGACATTGAAGCTGAGTTAAAATCATACGTGTCAGTGAATGGGTAGCCTTGTTAACGTGTCATTAAATCTGATAGTCAAGAAATATTGCCTCTTCTTGTTGGCTCTAATAAGAAATTTGAAAACCACAGTATTGATTTTTCAATTTCTAGGTTGTTATCTATTCGAAAAGATAAAGTTTTTAGTAATGAAAATCCATTCGGGAATGTGCCTAGATAACAACATAAAAGTGGACAATATTACTTCTAGGCCATATTGGATAATTCCTGGAGAGTGACTTACTCCTCTTTCAATACTTTCTTTGTGTAAAGTACTATTTTTACATGTCTTGAAGAACACAGAATCCTGGGAACACACTACGTCGCATCATTCCCAGGACCATCTCCTGACTGTATCCCGTTGCTGTGTGCCCCTCACCCTGCATATCCTACCCCCTGCCTGGAATGCAGTACTTTGAATGTGTCTTTTAAAGAGTGAGCAAGGCATTGAATTAACAACAGGGTCAAAAAGAGAAATGACAAAATGATATCCCAGGTGACATATATGTGCCCCGCATCACTGTGTCATATAAATCTGTATATCCTCATAGAAGAATAATCCATATGCAAGTCATTTCTAATTTGGTGTTGAGCCACACTGCAGTTCTGCCTGCAGCCCCATGCCCTGCCCTGTTGCAGACAGCACCCAGCACCTCTCTGTCAGAAAGAGAGAGACCAGTTTGGTGGTCAATGCATCGCTGTTCTCGGCAAACATCTGTTTAATCTTGTTTGCAGACATTGACTTAGGAAAGGTACTTGTGAATGTGCCCATAACAACAAACATTGAAATAATATGTACAGAAGACCTTAATTAATTAGCAGCCCAACTGTAGTATGTTCCATTACTTTAAAATTATAAAACAGAAAATGAAAACAATAATATCCAGCAGATGAAAAAAATGAAAGAAATAGCCTTTTAATGACTGTTAGTCATGATTTTTCCGGTTTAAAACTCATTTTGAAGCCGGGTGGTGGTGGCGCACGCCTTTAATCCCAGCACTCGGGAGGCAGAAGCAGGTGGATCTCTGTGAGTTTGAGGCCAGGCTGGACCAACAGCCTCCAAAATAGTACAGAGAAACCCTGTCTCGTAAAACCAAAAAAAAAAAAAAAAAAAAACCTCATACCTCATTTTGAGTTCTAGGAATGTCTTTTTCTTCAGCAGAACAAATAATTCTGTTTCTCATTTTAGCCCAGCCTACAGGTGAGCCACGCAAAGTTACATAGTTTGGTGAAGCCCAGTGTAGACTTTGTCTGCCAGCTGAAGTTCTCTTCTGGCAATTACCCTCCGTGTTTGGATGACACCAGAGACCTGCTTGTCCACTGGTGCCACGGTGCCCCTGGGGTCATCTACATGCTCATCCAGGCCTACAAGGTACCTCGTGTTTTCTTATTTCACAGAAAGAAAAAGTAGCAAATGTTTTTGGAAGTTAGCACTATTCTCATAATTGTCAAAGGATTGTGAATCAACTGCTGTGTCTAAGGTCATTGTGCTGAATGGCTTAGCATCCATTCTCACAGTGTCCATCCCACCATAATGGGCACCATCTCATAACTCTCCACTGACAGAGTAACAAAGATGATATCAGAAGTGGCAGAGCCAAAATAAACACCCCAGAAGCATGACCAAAAGCAGAATCCTTATACACTGCTGCCGGAATGTGAAATGGTACAGCTGCTGACAAATTGCTGGCCCTTAGAAAATCAAGCACTTAACATATAACTGAGCAATTCTACTTCTAGGCTTGTGAAAAAAAATCAGAGCAATTCAAAGAGATACATGCACACAACTATTGATAACTCCACTACTCCACTCTAAAGCCAAAATGTGAAAAATATCCAAGCATCCATTATCCATAAACAGATAAATGTATAGATAAAATACAGTGTGTGAGTGAGTGTGTGTGTGTGTGTGTGTGTGGAACAGTATCTAACCATAAAAGGGAGTGAAATGTGTAGTATAATACTCATAACTTTGAAAAGATGCTAAGCAAAATAAATAGACACGCAAATATGCAATACAAAAGAGGAAATTATACTTACATGGAGTGATAACTAGTAGAAGTGTCTAGAGTAGGCAAATTTATATAGAGACAAGAAATGGAAGGTATCAGAGCCAGGAGAGTCTATTGCTTGATGTGTAGTGGTAAAAATAGAAGTGATATTGTGTGCATAAAAATGCAGTCCTGGTGCTGGGGCGTTGGAAACAGAAAGACCCCTCGGGATCACCGACCAGCTACTATTGCCCAATGCTTGAGCTCCAGAGTGAATAACCCACACACATCTGCACTCATATAACACACAGAAATAAAATGGTGCATAAGTTCTTCCCAAGTATATAAAGACACTCTAATGATGGGTGCATGGTGTTGTAGTTACTCAGCGGCTGTCATGTGTTCTTTGGAGAGGTGATGAGAACAATTGGCCAGGTCAGCACTGCTGCTGCACCAGTCACACACACATACAAAGCTTAGACCAAACACACAATCAGACCCAGTGATTTTTTTTTAAACAAACTATATTAGTTTGCTTTTCTGTCATTGTGGTAAAACACTAAAAGCAGCTTGGAGTAGGGAAGAGTTTGTGTGGCTTACAGGTTAGTCCACCATGAAGGGAAGCCAAGGTAGAAGCCTGGAGACAGGAACTGAAGCCGAGTCCATGGAAGATGCTGTTTACTAGTTCCCTTCCCCTGCCTTGCTCAGCCCACTGTACAGTCCAGGACTACCTGCCACGATGGTACCTCCCACACCAATCAGCAATCAAGGAAACACCCTTCAGCTGTGTCCCCAGGCCAGTCTGACTGGGACAGGTCCTCAGTTGAGGGTTCCTCTTAGGTGTTCTAGGCTTGTGTCAAGTATACAAAACTATGATACAAGTCAGTGTTAAGAATTTGTCATTGGTAGTACCACACAGTCTGTCACTGCATTCCTTATTTCTTCTTAGCATGCCTCCTCCCCCACCTTGCCTTTCCTTCAGAAAGGGCTACCTGGAGAATTTTCCTTTATGCCCAGATAATGGAACTCATGTGTGTCCTTGACTCTGCAGGTGTTCAAAGAGGAACAGTACCTTTATGATGCCTACCGTTGTGCTGATGTGGTCTGGCAGTATGGCCTGCTGAAGAAGGGCTACGGGTTGTGCCATGGTGCTGCAGGGAATGCCTATGCCTTCCTGGCACTCTACAACCTCACACAAGATATGAAGTACCTGTACAGGGCCTGTAAGGTAGGAGCCAGGCTGTGCGTGGAGAAGCAGCTTCTTGGGAGGTTGAAAAGGCTCAAGTCTGTCAAAGAGTCAGTTCATTTATATTATGTCCACGAGCTTAGAGTTGACAAACATATTCTTTAAGAAAAGCCGGTTCAGTTATATTAACATTCCTTGAAATGGTAGATTATGCTTGGACATTTGTGGGAGTAAAAGCTGAAAAAGATAGAGGGTCATTTTGTTCTCTGACGTCATTGGCAGCATGTGGCTGGCACTGCTCCCTAAACTCCTCTCAAGCCATGTTTCTTCCTTTAAATCACCAGTTCCTCAAAATTAACTCCTCACCTCTGGCTTGGTGGTTTTGGAATTTGTCAAAGTAACACAGAATTTTCACGAGTTTCTAGGGTCTCTGAAGAAATAAGTCATTGAAGTTGGTCTCCTTTTCAGTTTGCTGAGTGGTGCTTAGATTATGGAGAGCATGGATGCAGGACGCCGGACACCCCCTTCTCCCTCTTTGAAGGTATTTTTCACATGTGACTTAATATCATCAGCTGCTATTCTGCTCGGTGATAATGTGTTTGAATCCCAGTTGTAGCCACAAACTGTTTTTTATAATCCATTGTTAAACACATACTTCCTAATTTCCTGATATGTCAGATCAGTTAGCAAGGCTGGGCTGTAGCTCACTTGTTAGAGAGCTTGCTTAATGTCCTGAGTTCCATCCTCCACACTGCATAGACAGGGCATGTTGGCACACACCTGTAATCTCAGCTATAGTCCCAGCACTCAGGATGGAGACAGTAGAGACAGGAAGATCAATTCAAGATCATCGTGAGCCATTTAACCATTTCGAAACCCTGTGTCAATAAATAGATAAACAAATAAATGTCAGGCATTCCACCACAGACTTTAATACTCAGGGTTGTCATAGTGACCACCATTTCTGGAGCCAGGAGGCATATGGTGAGTGTTGGATGCAGAGTGCTGTGGTGAAGGAACTCACACACGGCCGAGTGGCTTGAACTTGTTTGCCTCCATGCCCCTGGATAAAAAAGCCAAGAACTCCTTCCTCTAGGGGCCTCTGATGTGTAATGCATTGTATGAATTACAGGAAGCTTCCTGCGTCTTAGTATAATGTTGATACGTTAAAAAAAATGAAGCCATTTGGTGTAGTAACTCGTGCCTTTTTCTCTTTCCTCAGGGATGGCTGGAACAATCTATTTCTTGGCTGACCTGTTAGTCCCCACAAAGGCCAAGTTCCCTGCATTTGAGCTCTGAAAGGGCAGCATGGCCCCTGCAGCATGACCCTCTGTGTGTTCCAGCCTGGGCTAAGTGCTCCCATTGCTTTTGAAGGAGCAGAATGAAACCATGTACTTGAGACTTGGCTTTTTATTTCCATAATTTGTCTTTAGCAATTCAGCGCCTTCCTTTTCGTACTTTTATTTAAAAGTGTAAGTGAAAGCCATCTTAACTTTCTTCCATGAGAAGGATGACTGACAGGTATAATAGTATTTTGTGGCCATTTACATGCATTTACAGACTTGGAGGAAATCTTACTCTTCTTTACTTTTATGAATGTAATCATGTGTTACTGCTCTTGAAAATGTAAGCCATGGCTGGTAGCATGTTATCCCATCTACTGAGGAGACTGAGGCAGGAGGATCACAAGTTCAAGGCTGACCTGAGCAACTTAGTGAAACCCTGTTTCCAAATAAAGAGAAGAGAGAGGTCTGGGGTACAGCTGAGTGGTAGACCACTTTCCTAGTGTACAAGAAACCCTAGACCCTGTCCCCAGCTCTCTCTCTCTCTCTCTCTCTCTCTCTCTCTCTCTCTCTCTCTCTCTCTCTCTCTCTCTCTCTCTCTCTCTCTCTCTCTGTCTCTCTGTCTCTCTCTGTCTCTCTCTCTCTCTCTCTCTCTCTCTCTCTCCCTCCCTCCCTCCCTCTCCCTCCCTCCGTCTCAGCTCAGGTAAACAGATTATATGTAAATGGCCATTGTTGGATATTGCCTTCCATCTCTTCTGTTGAATATTTTCCCTCCAACAAAGAGTAGTTTTATGACTTTGTTTTCTCCAAGTGGTTGATTCTTAAAGGGAACAAAAATACAGTCCATGCTTCTGGAAGAAAAACTGTAAGATTACAGACTAGACTTGGCAGCTAAATGCCATCTTTTAAACTTCTATTTCCTGTCTGAACTAGAAGTGCCATTTTCAGTGATTCCACATAGGCACTGTATTCTCACAATGTCATCAAAACTTAAAAATGCTTGTGATGCACACTCTGACCTGAAAGTTAATTCATCAACAACAGGTCCTTTTTTCTGTTAGAATTTGGAAATGTTTAGTTTAAGGGTGTTTGTCCTTCAGTGTTCATATGAGATCAGGAAGTAGATTTTAGTGTGAATTTGCTGAGACAGGATTCTAGCCTGACCTTCAACCAACATTCAGAAGTTTAGCTTAGGTTTTCCTTGTTTTTTGTTGACTGTGCCTGAGTGTCATGTTACCCTTTTCTGTCAATTGATTTCAACATTGATCTTTTCACTCAATAGTACAGAATCTACTTATGCTTACAAAGGAGGTGGGTAGGGAGATGCTGTAACCAATAACTTCTAAGAGAACAGAGCTTTTGCCAGGCGGTGGTGGCACACGCCTTTAGTTCCAGCACTCCAGAGACAGAGGCAGGCAGATCTCTGTAGTCTACAGAGCGAGTGTCACAACAGGCTCCAAAGCTATACAGAGAAACCCTGTCTCAGAAAACCAGAGGGAGGGAGAGAGAGAGAGAGGGTGGGGGAGGGGAGAGAGAGAGAGAGGAGAGAGAACAAGAACAGAGCTTTTGACAAGAACTCTTGTTTTTAGGAGGCATCTGATGTTATACCCTCCATGCTTGTAACAGATTACTGTTTGCATATCCCAAGCGAAACAGCCATCAGAGTCTGAGACCATGGAGTCAGCTTGGTTTGTACATAAAGACTTTCTGGTGCTTCAAACTCTGAACAAATGCTTTTTGACTCCTCAACTCCTCCCTTTCTCCTCATATCAGACCCTTTGTAACTGACTTGGGAGCATTTTCCAGCTTTAATACTACAGGGTCTGAGAATATTTAATGTGCTGTTTCTATTGAATGGAAATCAAGTCCCCATGGAGTGTGTTGCTATGAGGAATAATTCCCTGTTATTTTCTGACTTGCACCAAAATAGCTAATATAATGAGGAATTTTCCAGTCCTTTAGGCTGCCTACAGCAGGATCCAAAGAGCAGCTCAGTGCTCAACTCCTAGAGTTGGAGTGTTCCTTCTGTGGCTCCTGTACGCCAGGGACTTCTGTGACATCCGACTCTGAAATGCTGCTGGAAGCTGTGTTAGACTACCTGGTGAAGGCTGTGCTTTGATGGTGTCGGTATTTATAAGAGCCTACCAGTAGAGCGCATTTGGTTGGCGGGCTGTCCAGCTTTAGAAAAGAAAGCCCACTTGCTTTAGTTACATGGCTTATATTCTGCCTGTACCTTCATCTACTATAGTTACTAAAAGAAAAAGAAGCAATGTTCTGGTTAGTCAAGAGTCTTGATCACAGTGCTTCCCCGGGCTTCCTGATTAATGTAGCCCCAGAAAGAACTCAAAGCAGGAAGAGTGTTTTGAGTGACACTCGTGTTACTGTCTGAGCTGTCTTCTACATATTGCCATCCATTAACAGACCCATCCTTCCTCACTGTAGCTTTTTAAAACTGACTACACTGAAAAAGTGTCTGTGCCACTTGTGTCCTTATGCTACAAAGCCACAAGAGTTTTCTGGGGCTTTTAAACTCAGGTGCAGTACAAAACCCACATGAACACCTCCCCTCTGAGGCAGAGACTGCAGGAAATGTTTTCACTCCATCATTGTGCAGAAGCACAATGATATTCCTCAGATATTTTTCTTATTGATTTAAAAACCTTCCAGAGGTTGCTTCCAGAAAGCTCAGTGGTATTTCTAATCTTCATCCAGAGACTGGAAGGGAAAATGTTCTGAGGCTGTCTGGTAGTGCATTTATTTATTGTATAGTTCTGCCCTTAACTTTTCATCATGTAAAATGTCGGCATTACCATGACCACTTCCGTAATTCCCACAGGCATTCACCCCATCCCGTCTTTCATCCTTAGAGTCATCAGGTTCCCACATGTCACATCCATTTGACATCAGAATCCCCATGTAGCTAGAGTTAGCTAAAGGGGTTAAGGGTGTTTTTTCTCCTTATTCCCATTTCACTGAGTAACTGAACGGCAGCACTCTGCTCCTGTATCCTCGGGTCAGTTTGTATCTGGTCTCACAGTGCCCTTGCCTTCTACCACCTAATTCTGAAATAAACAACGTGAGTAGGAACACTCACTTATGAACTTCTTAGGCTCCTAGAAATAGGTGTAGTCCCTGCTTACTCATCCTGCATTCCAGTTCCTCTTCTGCTTCCCTGAGACATGTTAGAGCATGTTTCTGAGTTCTCTAGACCAGCAGGCTGTGGGAGAAATGTTTATATCCTGTAAACTGCAAACAGTCTTGGGACCATTCGGGGATCACCCAAGATTACATTGACACTTTCTGGGAAGGGCTGGGATCATATCTGTATTGACTGACTGGCCTTCAATAAAATTTTACTAGGCCTGAGTATCGCCTGCTGTTGTTTGTTTGTTCTATTTGAACTTGAAAATTATTTCTACATAATGGTAAATAGTGGCTTTTCTTTTTTTGTATAAACTCACTCCTGGGATTTGTTCCTAACTTTACTTCCTTGTTAGTTCCACTCCTTCCTAATAACAGACTTACAGAAGAAAGACATTACCACATCTGATCATAATACAATTAGGAAGAATCTCCACGGTTTCAGACCATGCAGAACATTATCCACCTGGTACATATCTACCTGCAGTCAGTGACTAAGAGCCTTCTTCTGGGAATTCTTCCTGCTCACAGTTCTAAAGGGGCTTTAAATGAAGTCGTTGAATGAGGCATGATCATAGGGAAAGGAGATCTGCCCAGTCACCTGAGAGAGTGTACTACTTCTCATGACACAGCCAGCTAGCGCAGCAGAAGTTCGCCATTGTTATCATCTCTTAGCTACAAATGCTAACACCGAGGATAGATGTGATTTTTTTTTCCCTCTCCTTCAAATGAAATGAACTGTGCATGTTGGGATCAAGTCTATAGATGCAGGCAGTAAGGGCCTAAGGGACAGAGCCCTTCAGTCACCAGATTCCATAATGACCCTGTTCTCCGTTTAACTCTCCCTAGCAAAGTAAAAATACACAATTGGCATTGTATTAAAACTAATAAAAGTTTAAGTAATTTGGCCCTTTCGACTTACCCACAACTTATTTGTTTATGTTTTTTAAAAATCTGTTGTTCCAGTTGGGCCATGGTGGCACACACTTTTACTCCTAGCACTCTGGAGTTCAAGGCCAGCCTAGTCTACAGAGTGAGTTCCAGGACATCCAGGGCTGTTACACAAAGAAACCCTGTCTCAAAAAACAAACAAAAAAAATCCTTTGACTATTAGAGAATGGTAATTTATGTCATTTTTCTTTTCCCACAGTAATCCCCACTGTGGATTCAGTGCCCCAAAGGCCTCGTATGTTCTTTATCCTTACAAGCGTCACAAAAGCTTACCCTATAAATGTATCGCTGGGAATTTTCCTGCTTCATTCTATTTCACTTCCATACTATCTCTTTTCAAACACTGTGGTCAGTTAAAGCAGGACACTAGCTTTCTTGCAATGGAGACCACACTGCCTTCACGGTTCCATTATGTGAGCTGATAAACAGGAGCCTGTGTAATGCATCCTTAGGGACATATTTTACAATTCCATTAGTAACGAGAGAAAACACAAACAGTAAGCCAAAACGTGGACTAACGAGAATAGAGAAATGGATCTTAGCAGGGCAACTTCTCATAGCCAACCTAATTTCACATCACTACATTATGCTAACTTTCCATCAATAAGCAAATTACAATCACGGTGACATTAAGTCTGAAGCTAATGTTCTGTCACTCTGCAAATAAGTGTTGAAGAAGGCTTCTGTGTGGCATTTACTGGTTATGGGAGGGAAAGAAGGACTCCTTACCAATCAGTTTGTAAAGTACTATCAAAATTGCCTAATTTCTCTGGTGGACCTGGATATGAAACAAAGTATTTGTAATCTGAAAGTGCTGATGGAGTTCACTGTAAGCATATGGCTAACACCGGCTGTTTTCTCAGAAATTGGCATTTAGTAATTCCCATGCACTCTCATAGATAGTTTTTGCACTATTATTAGTACTGTCAGATTATGTGCTACAGACACACCTATTCTATCCTGCTCTGAGCAGTGCTTTGTCTTCATGCTTGCATGCTCTGACTTGTCAGTGTGTGTATGTAGGGCAGGTTACACATGCATAACCCCCTCCCACCCTTGTTCTGGCAACTCCATTAGAAGAGCATAGGTGATTAGCCAAGCAATTACAAAATGTTATTTGCACTCGTGCCAGCTGTTCTTTTCTAGCTCTCGTGTGCTCTGTGCTTTCTTTATATTTATGGAAATGGTGCAGTTAGATGCCTTTATAGGGAGAAGACGCTCAGCCAGAAGCATTTACCATTAGTACATTTGGTCAGCCCTGGTGATGGAGGGGAGGTGGATCTGAAGACATAAAGCCACATACTCCTCCAAATCTCTCATTTAGACAACTTCTGGGAAATGCCCAGTATTATCATTTTAGTAGATTTTGCACAAGATCAAGCAGGATCCAGCATATCAACAGCCCAGCATGAAGAGAGAGAGAGAGAGAGATGGCTGCTGCTGCAGAGAGAGTTTTCTTTAAGAGTGGATGCCACACCCATGATACATAGGCAGCACAAATTGGACTATTTAGAAAAAACGAAAATGACAAGGAGGAAAGACGGGGTGGATCAGCCAGGAGTTAGGGAAGTGGTAGTGAATACGATCAAAACGCATTGCATACATGAAATTGTCAGGAAAAGTATTTAAAACAAGGTTAAATTCTTTTCCTTGAGCGCTGTTAAGAGGCACATGCTTTAGAAGTAGATCAAAGGTCACCCCCTTGCCTTTTAGTATTTGGCTCATGGCACAGGTTGCTATTAAACTTGAAAATGGGAAGACCACTGCTAGCACGTGCTAGTTGTAGCATCCCATGATGGCATCTGCTTGCAAAAGACTTGTGAAGTAGATGTATCGATGAACAAGTGATCTCAGTGTGAAATGGGACTGTGGTACCAGCCCATAGTGAGGAGAGGAGATGAAGTGAGAGGCGGGTATATGAGGGTCACGAAACTGGCTGTGAAAACAAAGTCACGGCTTTGTTCAGTCCACTGTGCATGCAAATGGCGTAGGGTCTCTGCCGGGTGCTCCTAAATGAGTTAGACACTCCGTATTCTTGGTGAATCTCAAGTAGAGGAAAAGGAGTCAAGAGTGGGCTGGCTGATGGCTTTCAAGAATTGACCGCATGTGAAGGGAGTGAGCCAGTAGGAATTTCTAACTATCGTGGCTGTGCAGGGTGGATGGTGAAGGTCTTGTGACCAGCATATTTTGTAATGGTGATTGAAGCAGGTAAAAGCAGGGGGTTTGGAGAAAATACTCCATTTAGATGGGAAAATCAATTTTTTTTACCTTTTTTTTTGTTTGTTTGTGTAAGCATCACAAGAAGATACATAGAGCAAGGAACGCATGGGGGGAGGGTTAGTAGAGTCCTCTGCACCTCATTCACTTTATAAGGAGCCAAAGGCACCATCCTTAAAGATACTATTAAACACATAGCAGTCACGTTCTTTTCCCCAAGCCTGTCTTTCTCATTGTGTTTTAAGTAGTAAATGTAGTAATGGAGTATATAGACACTGCTGGCCGCCTGCCATTGGACATGATTCCAGTGTCAGGATTTCTTAAAGTGATACGGGTTTCTGGGGTTTCAGATGCCATGTACCAGGACTGCATAAGAACCTAAAAACATCCGATCTAGGAGACTTGGAGACATGGGGGGGGGGGGATGCCTTAATCTCTCCTAAATTAAAAGCCTGATACAAATGAATATGATCATTACTATTCACTAACCCCACATCTGACAGAGGGCTGATCTCCAAAATTTACAAAGAACTCAAGAAGCAAGTCTCCAAAACACCAAAGGATCCAATTAAAAAGTGGGCTACAGAACTAAATAGAGAATTCTCAATAGAGGAGTCTAAAATGGATGAGAGGCACTTGAAAAAGTGATCAACATCCTTAGCCATCTGGGAAATGCAAATCAAAACAACTCTGAGATACCATCTCACTCCTGTCAGAATGGCTAAAATCAAAAACACCAACGACAATTTATGCGGGAGAGGTTGTGGTGAAAGGGGAACACTCCTCCACTGCTGGTGGGAGTGCCAACTTGTACAGCCACTTTGGAAATCAGTATGGAGATGCCTCAGAAAAATGCAACTAAACCCACCACAAGACCCAGCAACTCCACTCTTAGGCATATATCCAAAAGATGCCCATTCATACAACAAGGATGTCTGTTCCACTATGTTCATAGCAGCATTATTTGTAATAGCCAGAACTTGCAAGCAACCTAGATGCCCCTCAACCGAAGAGTGGATAGAGAAAATGTGGAACATTTACACAATGGAGTACTATTCAGCAGAAAAAAAGAATGGAACCCTGAAACTTGCAGGCAAATGGATGGCACTAGAAGAAACCAGCCTGAGTGAGGTAACCCAGTCACAAAAAGAGAAACATGGCATGTACTCTCTCATATATGAATTTTAGACATAGATCTGGGGAGTGCCAGCCTACAATTCCATGGTCAGAGAGTCTGGGAAACAGGACCTTCATTCAGTGGCTGATGGAAGCAGAGGCAGACTCCCATGGCTAAGCACTGAGCTGAACTCAAGAAATCCAGTGACAGAGAGGTTGACAGATGAACAAAGGGGTGAAGACCGAGCTGGTTTAACCCTCAGAAACAGCTCACCTGACTGACAAGAGTTAGCTCTTGAATCCCGGACTGATGCCTGGGAATCCAGCAAGGGACTGGTCAAGACCCCCTGAATGTGGGTGTCAGTGAGGAGGCCTAGGTAATCTATTGAGGCTTGGGCAGTAGATCAATATTCATCCCGGGTATACAATGGACTTTGGACTCCCATCCAACAATGAGAGATGCACTCTCACCCTGAACTCTTGGGGGGAGGGTCTAGGCCCTGCCCTGGATGAAATGACAGACTGTGGACACCCCCATGGAGGGCCTCATCCTCCCTGGGGAAATGAGAGGATATTGGAGGGGCTGGTGGGAGGGTGTGGGAGGAGGGGAGGGAAAGGGAGAAGGACCTGGAATTGACATGTGAAGCAACCTTGTTTCTAATTTAAATTTAAATTTAAAAATAAAACATTAAAAAAGAACCTAAAAACACCCGATCTAGGAGACTTGGAGACATGGGAGGGGGGATGTCTTAATCTCTCCTAAATTAAAAGCCTGATACAAATGAATATGATCATTACTATCCCTTATGTTCCTGGGCATTTGACAGTAAGAACTGATCCAAGTTTGGATGACTCACAACCAGAATATCACTACTAAGAATAGTGACTACTCAGCATGTTTTATTTAATTTTTATAAACCCTCATTGGCTGAGTTAAAACA